CCAGAAGGTATTTTATTGAGTAAGTCTACGAGACTAGTCCTAAAAAATTGACAGAAAACTTTGAAGCTATATATACAAACGTCAAAACTAAAGTAAAAGTAGGAGACCTAACTACAGATAAAATATAATGTAGGGGTGGAATACGCCAGGGCGACTACTTAAATCCAGTAATCTTCAACTTGATAATAGATAAAATTATTGACAACGTAAAAACAATGGTAGTCCAGACGATTAGTAATAACCAGTTACACATAGTCGGCTACGCAGATGTCACAGTGCTTTCAGTAGACTGAAGATAATCTGCAGAGACTATTGTATAAATTCATGTCGGCAGAAAAATATTTAATACGATAGTTGCAACAGAAAAAAAACATATCGGTGGTAATATCCAAGGAATCTGTAAGATGTAAGTTGGAAATAGAAGATAAAGTCATCGAGCAAGTGATGAAGTTCCAATACCTGGCAGTGGAATCTCCAGTGATTGCCATATGCATAGAAGCGAGGGAGCAGGCCATGAAAAATGCTCGCGTATCAGGATTAAGATATGTAACTTGAAAAAATAATACCTTAGCTTAGAAGGTAAAGTTAAAATCTACAAAACAATGGTAAGACTAGTTTTTCGCAGGAAGCTGAAACACGAGCTGATACGAAAAAAAACAACTATACCGATCAGTAGCAAAGAACACACCACGAAGAGGTAGAAAATACCAGGAGTGACAGCGTAAGAAATTAGGATGCAAGAAAACAGTGTAAAATAACTGATATTGCCAAAGTTTTGGAAAGAAGGAAAAAACAATGGATGTAACTATATTACACAAATGAGCAATTACATGAATAGACTGGTGAAGATAGAGATACGATACATTCAGGAAGGAGAAACTCTGGAACGCCGCAGAAAATATGGAGAGATCTGCAGCAACATCTAGTGAATCCCCCGTGATGAAGAGTGAAGAAAAATAGATGTACTCGTACAACCTACATAAAAGGAGAACCACTATTGCGTACATTGGATTCGAAGTATTTGCGATTCCAGTAATTTGAGAATATTTTAGGATTTGGAATTCACCAACCGAAGATCACATTTCACAGCGCAGCATTGGATTTACAGCATTCTATAGGTCAGCACTCTATTCACCATATTTTTTTCTTTTTGAATATCTATCGTTGTGCGTGACGAGAATATAAGCGTGAGCTATTGTACTAATCGTATATGCAGTAGATGAAATGTCTTTGCGTGTCAGTTGTTTTTTCTTAATGCTAATTTATTCATTATAGCTTCAAGCTCTTTAATATTCTTAATTTATCGTCTACCTACTAGCTCTTTGAAAATATCAACTAATACATATGTGATCCAACCTTTTGATATTTAGCAATACTTTTTATTAAGAAAAATTAGCACAGGTTATTAGTTGAGTTTACTCATTGATTGAATTTGGTTTTGTGTTAGAATTTGGACCCATCATATGGCTGTGCTTGGGGAGCTTCAGAGTTATACGAAGGACTACGGAGTTATACGGAGGAAGAGCGTGTAGTTTGAAACAAATATTTTAATTTATGAATGTACTTTACATGAAGCATCGAGCACATTTTGAATATTTTCTAAAAAATAACTCCAAATTTTTGAATTAAAATCTTTTATCGGATAGTACGCTTATAAACATAACGCAGGTCAAATTGTCTTTGAAATATCTGCATTTTTGAATATTTCAAAAGTTTAATAAGTTTTCAATATCATCTTTCAATTAAAATACTGAAGATAGACATTTCTCTTCTAAATGAAATCTCTATTTCAAAATTAGATATTTAAGTGATATCATGTACACGTTTTTTCAAAAGTGGCGTAGTTTGAGCATACTTTTGAATGAAGTAAAGGCAATTTTAAGGACAAGAATTTGACAACGAACTACTCCAAATATTTTCTTTAACATTTTTACCGGACAGTGCGTAGTACGTTTACAAAAAATGACCCAGTTTCGATTTGCATTAAACTTTCTGAATTTTCGAAAACTGTAAAAATTAAAAACTATGCGAGAAAGTATGTGCTGCTGAAGGGTCATTCATTTACACATGAAATGTCTCACCAGTACACTTCAATGACGGAGAGCAGGCGATGGAACTCGGGGCCGAGGAAGAGGCTCATGGCGCGGCCCTGGTAACGGAGGGAGGAAGCCGCAGAGCTGTGGAGCGTCTGCCGGGCTTCTCACGGTCCAAAATCGTCACGGCTTTACGGACGCCTCCGCTGCTTTACAGGGACAGGGAATTTTTATTATCACGGTGCCATCGTGAAGCGTCTCATAGGTTCAGTCCACTTCAAGGCGATAGGTGAGTTTTTTAGGTGAGAAACTCGTTCGTCTACTTGTCTTCGAAATACGTTAATTCGTGAAACCAGTAAGAGCAGTAATTATAATTTTGTTAATTAGTAAGAAGAAATGATTTATAACATGAGGAAAATACATTTTTTATAAAACGCTTGATTTTAATTGAGAGTAAATTCCAATTACATAGTTATATAAGCAATCAGCACTGGCATGACGATGGCATTGGTAATGGAACTTCAACTCCATTCCTTTTTGATTTATGACGACAAACTACTCCCGTAGTCTTCCCTAACTTCATAAGTCTAAACAATACTAATTATAAGATTATGGTTAATAAACCTAAGGTAACAGTAGAATCAGGAGGAAAGAGATTTTAAAAAATTGGTTTTGGTTTTTATCCAGAGAAATCGAGGAAAGGTGGAATATCGATTGAGAATGGTCTATAATTTATTTCCCGGAGAAGTATTTATTATAAAACACATGACTCCCCTTAATTCCTCTTTGACTACAATCATAATTTTTAATATTTGTAATGAAAAATTGTAATATCAGCAAGAACTGTGACTCAATTATTGCTAATGAGGATCCATGAACGATAATATACTTTGCACCACCGATGAAAGTTTTGCGTTAGCATCAATGTTTTAAAGCTGAAAAAATAAGTTAGGAAATTACTGCATTGTTGACAGACACGCAATGAAAGAAAGCGTTAAATTTTTTATTATATAATAAATAAGCGTTTCTGCCAATGTGTTTCAAACAGTGACTTGAGCTGCTGCTAAAGGTCATTATTTACATGAGCATTACGGAATGATTTCATATTTGAAAAAAGAGCAACAAGGTGTTACTTGCAAGAGATCAGGCATATAAAATGTAACTAAGCATTCCAAACATTTGTATGTTTGTTTGTCTGTCGTCAAATAGCTTTCAAATGTAAATCCTTGAGGTTTCTGGCCGTGTGCCTATGCCCTTAATTATCGTTTTTTCTGTGGTTGCAAATTATCTCATTTACATACAGAGATTATTTTTCTCCTTACTTCAATTATCTGAATCGTCAGCAAGAATATATTACGCTTATTTTATAGTCTATGTATTCTTTTGCGAAGTAATCAATAGCATTTAGTTGAATGACGGGTTTACATTATTGGGACATATTTTTACCTGTCTCAATAAATACGAGTATCATTATATAATCATGGGCGATGTGATGAGTGGAATGCGGATCAATTAACAACGATCGTAAATCATAGATTTTTCAGACATGAATATTGAAATATGAGAAGATTTAAAATTTACATAACGGTAACATTTTAGGCGTTACAGCAAATTTATAAAACGAGAACTGGGTTTATAATTAAAAGAAGCCTACATCAATACAGTCGCTTTTTCCTTACTAAATGTGACGCAAAAAGTTCTTCTTGATCTCTTATACCTGGCGACGTGCCATACAAGCGCGCTTAAATTTAGAAAATGTTCGCCATAACCATGTAGTTATTGTGATCTCTCTCTCTCTTTCTTTCTCTCCACGCTATTCAATTTTGGCTCTAAGAGGGAGATTTTATGAAGTGTTGCAAATGAAGCAAAGCTCATATTGACACAAGCGTCATTCAAATGTGATGGCGTTGTGGGTTCACCTTTGAACATGTGTGCAGGACGTTTCCGCCTCCACCGATGTTTATCTTTCTTATGTAGTTTCTATTTGCATTTATACTCGTATTCCTTCCGCTTGTAAATATTAGCTTTATATTTCTGACCCCTATGAAGGGTTTAACAACTCATGTAAAATACATTTTACAAAAGTACAACATATGGCGTCTTCTGATTTGAACTAATCTTGGTGAATAAACAGATATTTTATGTTAATAAATTATCTCGAGGCATTGTTATAGCATGGGTCAGACTAGGCTCACTAACTACTAATTCTCTTCAAATGAAGAAACAATACCAAAATTGAATAAAGGAAATCTTGAAATACATAAAGGTTAATTTTGACACAGTGGAGCTGAAAAAGATGTAAAGTGTTGATGCTCATAGTTTTCAATGATGAAATAATATGTGAATAGGCATGTAATGTCTATGTTGTGAAAACACTTTGAGCACCGTCGGGCACGGTCATAGAACAGTTCTGATGAAAACCTCTCACTGATGATGGCAAACACTGTTACACCAGTTATCCTTAAATTATGTATATGTATAATGTAATGAAAGCGAAAATATTGAAAACAATCTCTGAGAACTACGTTTGATACCAGATCGATTTCAATGAAAGTTCATATTTATATTGCAATAGAGAAGTTAGATTTAAGTTTGGCAGAAACTATCAGCAAAACGTTTCCCCCATTTCTTCTTAAATTTGCTGCTGATGTTCATGACATCATTGCTTGAAACGCAGACATTTCCTCATGCTTTTTGTTCATAAACTAACAAAACAAGGTTTTTATAATCAAGCTGAATAGCTCAGCTCATACGAATAATTCAAATTCATTTAACTCCGTCGTGCGGTCGAAATATCGGCCGCGTTGACCTGAACGCGCTGGCCGCAGTGCGACCATGCCTACTTACTAGTGACTGTTCACATTCAGTTGTAATCGGCCGTGTTTGACAAAACGCGAATTCTGCCGAACACAAACCCACTCGTTCCAAAGCCTTCTACGCCGCAGCAACCATAGCCGCGCCACCCACCTCGTTTTCCGCCCCCTCGCTGCTCCTCCCAGCCCTCGAGGCCTCCGGGCCCGCCGCGTAGCCCCGCTCCGCTTTGCGGCTCTGGACGGCCATCGGGCCCAAATTACAGCCCCGGATCGCGTAGCGTGGCGAAATGAGCGGCGTCTGAGAAGGCGTGGCAGGGGCGCCCGGTAATTTGACGTGAATGGACGGCGCGGCGTCTTCTTGGAAGTGCCGAAAACACCACACCACACCGCACCCCCGGTCCTGTCCAGCAAGAGCGGAGGATGGAAAGAAAAGAAGAACGAGAGCGCGAGCACGAGAGAGAGGTAGAGAGAGGTAGAGAGAGGGAGAGAGAGAGGGGGAGAGAGAGGGAGAGAGCGCGAGAGTGAGCGAGCGAGAGAGCAAGCGGGCAAGAGAGAGCGAGAGAGTGAGCGAGAAAGAGTGCGAGATAGAGAGCAAGAGAGCGAAGGAGAGAGCGAGAGCGAGAGAGAGCGACCGAGAGAGGGCATGAGCGAGCGTGAGAGAGAGAGAGAGAGAGAGAGAGAGAGAGAGAGAGAGAGAGAGAAAGAGAGAATGAGAGAACGAGAGCCTACGGTGTGAGATTGTATGGTGGGCAGTACTGATAATAGCACCGGCTGTGAAGAGCAAGGTGTTCAAAGGCCTTCGTGTTCTAAATCTGAAGCATCTACGTTTTCCTAAGTCGCTGTTATGTGGGGAATTGGACACTCCCGATCGGTTGCTCAGTTTATGGTGTCACATCGATAGTGGCAAGTGGTGGAAAGCAGAGAGTGTTCCATGCCCTGATTATGTCAGTGTGGATGACTCCTAATTGTGTCTCGGCCTCGTTATGGCAGTATTGCCCTCAGGGACAATGATATGGGACTTTATGGCGTTACGCGCATGTGAGTGGCGTATGTCTCCGGCACCAATTTGGGAAGCTAGTTTACTATGAGTTGGAGACATAACCCCACCTACGTTAATGGGTAGATGCCCGTACGGGTTCTTATGCCAGCCTGGCTGTGTCCTTTCGAACCTGATAGGATGGGAGTAAGATTATAAAGTAGGAATCCACGTAGGGTACTCTAGGTACTTACAAACTAGTAGCGTGGTGCAGGGTGCAGACGCATGATAAAGACACAGCAAATGAGAGTCTTTTCCTATCTGCAAAATCGCAATCTTGAAGGATTAGATTCATGGAAATGGGGGGTGAGACCATCGTCTGGCTTTAAGTGTGAAAGTGGGAACGGGATAGGGAATAAAGATTGAGTGATTCCGGACGCGTCGACTGCTAAGGTCATCAGTCCCGTGGTGTAGAGCTCGCTTTTTCATCGTGAGGCAGCGGTGGTCTTCCCCCGCTGTGGATATGGCGAGCTCCGACGCCGACCTACTGTTGGTTAGCGGAGTTGTCCCCAACCAGGTATCTCCCACCAGCCGGTCACCGCCCCAAACGGGACAAACTCTCAACTCCCGACTAGTCTCCCGGCATGTATGATAGTGTAGTGCATGTAAGTGTGTGTGTGTGTAAGTAAGGGATGAGGATATGACAAGGAAGAGGAAGGAAATATCGCGCGCGGTAGGTGGCCCTTTTGCTGGCGTAATGCTCCGGCATTCGCCTGGTATCGAAGAAGCCGATCCAATCAGCCGGCCGCAAGAATTCTCCTCCCGTGACCGACTGAATTCGACGTAGATGCCACGCTACTGAAAGAAAATCCTGCCACCGTCGGGACACGAACCTACGATCTCTCGGTCAGAGGCACTGCAGTGACATTAGTTGATGCCCTGAGTTACCTATCTCTGTAGGAATAAAGAACATCACGAGGTCCGTGGCCCGATGTTTTAAAATACTGCTTGGAATGGATTGGAGGAAACCATGGAATCGATCTATCAGAACAGCCGGCCTAAATGATTCTCACCCAGGAAAAGTGTCGTCCAATCGTGCTACTTAGTTGACGTCGAGAAACCAACAACGGACTCAAATCTAGCACCTCCCAATCTTTTAAAATTTAGTCCCGTCGCAAAACTACAAAAGATTTCGCAGTTGATAAAATTGTCAGCTCTATCATAAAACTAAGATGAACTGCCGACAGCCTCCTGAATTTCGGTTTATGAGCAGCGATTTCAGGTCACTCATTCTGTCACAGAATTCCCATCCATCATCATTGTCATTCATCTGTTTCCTTACTTTTGTGTCTCTATTTTTGTAACTATTGTTATAAAAAGTTGAATGTAAGAAGCATCTTAAGAAATAATTCCATAATAAGGCAATCAACGAAACTTGAAAATTAAGGAACTGAATTAGCAAAAATAATTTACAGTGCATGAATTTTCTGCGTACTAACATTGCACTACTAGAAATCGTCTTATTCGTAAAGAATTGGCTCATGCATATTTTGTATGTGGGACTACATAGCGCAAACATTTGCAGCCACAAACGCAGAATAAAACGTTATGGGCACGAATTACACATCTGTGATAGTGTCGTGGAAGACGTTGGCAAACCACCACGGATCCCATAATAACACCCAAATCATCCTTCATTAGCTTTTCACTGCCTTGTGTTGTGATGCGTCAAATATCACGAGAGGCTTGCGACTGTAGAATAAGACTTATGCTACAGTATGATTTGCTTATCATCTGAAACGCCAAAGTTCAGTATTCAGTCGACGATGGGGTTCATGAGAGGGCTTGTTTTTGCTTCTGTGTTTTTTATCATCAGTTTTCAAAGGCGAAAAAATATGCTTTTCTCTAATGAGCTAGATCTTGCAAAATCACATTAAGAACTGCCATCGACAGGTCGGAGCTAGCAATGAATTCATTTCAAAAAGGATATTTTAAGTTTATTGTGGATCAACGTTTGCACGACTATTTCTCTGGATACGCGATCCCTGGATCCATGGTTGTAGTTTTAAATGTAACATGCATGCTATTTTTATCTTATTTTTATTGTCGTATGTTATGAATAATAACATACTTGTACCATTAAATCAGCTTTAATAGTTTAGAATCTGGTGTCATGTATCATCGTAAATCAGGTGACGACATTCATGTTGACGATAATGTCCCTGTACCTTAAATTTGTCTTTTTTCTTTGCATCTCGGCGTTTCTGAAGAAAAACGGACCTGGCTACGTTCGTAAACATGCCAGAGAAGCATTCAACGTGAAGTTGGCCTGTCCTGTTTTCATTAAGTCCATATATCTGACGTTACCGATATCTGTTGTAGAAACCGGTTCTAATAATACCGTGCGCTAATAGTGCACTATTAAGCGATCGAAGTGGCTCAGGGCATAACGCACTGTCTTCGCATTCGAGAGGGTCGGGTTCAATCCCCGGGCCGACCATCCTCACCGGGGTTTTCGTGATTTCCTTCGGTCATCCAGGCGAATGCTGGGATGGTTCTACTGAAAGAACACGACCGTGATACAGGCGTCGCTCTCTGAAATCGTTCACTTCATAAAGTCACGAAGGTTAAACAAATTCGAGACATCGCGCGCTCCTGGTTGGGTGAACGAATGGAAACCCTCAGATCTAACGGCGCCGAGGAAAATTGCCCTTTACGGGACATGTAATGGCTAAATACAAATAAAAAACATCGCCTGGTACAGTAGTGATTCCTGGCATGTCAAACACTAAGTTACATTTCCCGTAAATGTAGTGCATGTTTTCCCTCGGGCGGTGTCGATGGCCTTCCTCCTCTGGATGGTGAGATCCGGCCCCGACCTACCGTCGACTAGCCGGGACCGGGTATCTCCCAACGGGGCACCGGGGCGCTCCAGCCGATAGAAGCTCTAGTTCCCGACTTCTCTCTCGACATGTGCGGTAGTGTAGTACATATAAGAAAGGGATGGCGAGAGGACAAGGAAGAGGAGGGAATGATTGCGATCGGTGCTTGGCTCGTTTGTTAGGAAACTGCTCCGGCTTTCGCTTCATATTGGAGGAACCGCAGCAACCTACCGATCAGAGCAGCTGGGTACTAGAATTCTCCCCCAGATGCAGACTGAATTCAACCTAGCTATAAAGCTAGGGTCAAAAAATTCTGCCACAGTCGGGATTCGAACCTAGGACCTCCCGGTCAGAGGCACTTCACTGATATTAGTTTATTCCCTGACTCTCCTTTCCCGGTAAATATCTAACAACACTAAGTGATTGCATTGTAAACAAGTTAAGCATTTAATATATTTTCGAGTATGTATCATAAATAAATGTCCCTGTGGGGACATTTCGTCTTTCTTCTGAATAATACGCTTAAAGTATAATTTTTGTAAACTAAATATTTTGTTTTGACATGAAATAAATTATTCAAGTGCTAATTATCAATTTATTGTATGATAAAGTTTTTTCAAAACTACCAAATCTACCAACTAATCAAATACTGGGGAGAATGTGCGTGCTTGTTTTAGCACCACTAGTTTGCATTTCTATTCGTGTTTTATCATCATACATTTTGTTCAAAATTTTGTTTATACATACTTTAATAGCTTTTCAATAAATTATTTAAAGCTTTGTTGATTTACATGACATTTTGCTAGTTTAACTGGCTTACTGGAACATCGCCTCGATTTCATCTCTGCCTTTCGGAGTTTTATGTAACCCTTCTTTTCTTTCCTCAAAGCATTCCTGAACAACGGAGCGATATCCTGAGCTCTGTTTATGGACCCAAGTTAATGACCGTTATTGAGATATTGGAAGCCCTAGTTGATGATTAGTGACGATATAATGAACTGCAATTTCCATCGTGTATTTTTTATTTTGTCATAAAATTAATCTGATTCTACTATCATTTTCGACGCCACCAATTAAGTCAGAGCTTTATCCTTAACGATTGTTCAGGGCTCTAAAATTTCTAATTTACAGCCTCGAAAAGTTTGGCAAGAAGCCCTGTTTTTTTAACGTTCTCTGGTAATAGGGAATATATATACTTGTTGGTGAAAATATTATGATTGGTTGAATGATTGTGAAATAACTATCCTTGTATTAAGTAATCCATGGTCTGTTTTTAATCATGTTTGAAGTTTCGTTTTCTTTTATATTTTAAATTCTGATAGAGCTCTGCAAACATTTCACGACACCAGAATCAACGTCCTAGGACGAGCGATTTCGCACTACTCTTATGTTAATTTCTGCTCAAAGCTTTTTCGCGACTATCATGCGTACCTGCACGCTTGTACGGATACCACAGGCGAAACAAATTCTATGTGACACACACACACAAACCAAAATTATCTATCCGTTGTGGACTGATCAGTTGTTTGAGAATTATTAATCTCATAGATATAAGTGATTCAAATTGTTCGTCACAATCAAGTTCGACCGGCCATCATTGTAACGAGCAGATAGACTTTTTCACATCAATAAATATATTTCATAAATAATATATCATTATTTCTTGGAATTTTTCTATGTACTGTAATAATTCGAGCTGGAACCTATAAGTTTTCATAGTTAATGTTCGCTGTTTCCCATTTTCATGTGTGAATGAAGCTAGAACATTACGCGAAAAAGCGAATAATATTAATATGTATTCTTCTGATTGGTTTCCTTTGTAAGCTGTAACTTTTAAATTAACATCTTGATAGAATTTTAAAGCTTTTGATTAGTGTATATAAGCTATTGATTATTGAATATAATAGTTTGATTGTAGTCTAATATTGAATTGTTCTCGCATATGTAGCTTCTCAAGAATTTTATTTTTTTCTTGCAATTGTTGATAGTACCTGAAGAAGTAAAGCGCTCAAAAGTATTACGAAACGTTATACAATAAGTGTAAAGTTAGTATAATATTAAACCCTGTTTCATTAAAACAGTTTCACGTGTCATGTGAATTATCCCAACAGCCCCTCCAACTGTTTACAATATAAACAGCGGTTTTCAGGTCTTAATTTTTTTTACTACAGCATGAATTAGTTCCGTAGCTCCGATACAGTGTATGAAGCACTGGTGTCTTGTTGCTGGAGCGAGCGTAGCGAGACTCGCCATAAATCGAGCGGGGCGACCTCGTCGGCAGGGGCGAATGGGAGGTCGCCCCACGTGGGCGGCTGCGGCGAGTGGCAGGCGAAGACGTACGACCGCGCCCAGCGCCCTCCCTCGCGAAGGCGGCGGGGGCGGCGGCGGAGGGGCGAGAAGGAGCGGAGCGAGGGTGAGCGGACCAGGGCGGGGCGAGCGAGGGCGGTGGTAGCGACGAGGGAGGGGGCGAGCGCGGCGGCGGCAGGCGCGAGCGGAATGGGCGGGGCGGGCGGGTGGCGCGCGGGCGGTGCGGAGCGGCGTGGAAGCTGGACAGCGGGCAGCGAGATGGCGCTTAGGTGCGGTCGGGGAGGGGGCGGACGGAGATGGCAGGCGGGGGAGCGGAGCGGGTCGGAGCGGACAGGCGGGGCGAGGCGGGCGCGGTAGGGCGGGAGAGGGCGGAAGCGCAGCGGCGAGGGGCGGAGCGGAGCGGGCAGGGCGGAGCGGAGATGGGCGGGGCGGGGCGGGCGCTGGGCAGCGAAGGTCGCCAGCGGGAGTCGAACGCACGGTCGCTTGGCAGCGAGAGCGGCGCGGACGCAGTTGTGGGTAAGCGGTCGCCAGCGTGGCAGGAGAGTCTTCTTGCGGAGACGACATTGTTTTGGAAGTCTGAGTCGCAGGAGGAGTTTGTAAATGAAAAACAAATACGATACAATAAAAGAATTTTGCCAACTTGAACCCCCATAACTGGAATACAAATCACTTGAACTTTCGGTTACTAAAACACTAATGACTGAAATCTCACTCCCAAACCACGATGATGTGAAATTACTTATATTTTCACCCCATCCGCCATCTATTTGTTTCCGCATGTTATTTAATCTCTTATAATTCTAATTCAATCTACAAAAACTTGATAATATGTGGTTTTTAGTCGAAGCATAGAACATCTCGTGTGTTCATCTACTCTCTTTTAGACCTTGAAGTGCAAGAGTAGTGTTGACGAGAGGCATTTACTAGTGCTGAGGCTTCCTTAACTGCAGTGTTCAAGTTCACTCTAAAACTGTTTTAAATTATTTCAGTTTAATACCTACCAATCTCATCAATTTTCTCTATAAATTCAAGGAACCAAGTACCCACGTATTTATTGAAGAATACCCCCACTTCTCATCAAACTATGATCAAAGACCACCCCAAAAGTCTCAAACCTTTTGAGAGCCATGTCATGCTTTAAGCATGAACGTATAATTTTTTACGTCGGCTTTGTGAAACGTTTTCGCGATATCTTCTTCCAAATTATCAACAAATATTTTTGTAATACTTTGTGTCAAGTTGTGTGATTTTGAGATTACAAACCATGGAAGAAAACAGTTCTGTATTATTTTCGGGCTTTGCCATGTCTTATCGTTGTAAGTCATGTAACAGTGACGTGGCCAATATAATATTTATTTCCTATAAAGGTTACAACACTTTTAAGATTTTTGAAAATATAGCTTAAACGAAGTGTTAAGTAACTTATAAATATCAGGCGAACCGCCTAACAACACTTCTGCATGAGTTTTACAACTATTCCAAGAAGGAGGTAATATACGGTTTGCATCGCCAAATGCTTCTAGAAGTACCACGCTAACAGGGATAATAACTCTTCTGGTAGGTTGCTTCTGGTCCGGGACGAGCCAGCTGCATCGCCTTAGAAACTGCGTCGTTGTCTAAGATGGCGTCGAAGACGCAGCAATGCGCAGCGAAGCTTCGCCGGGTGGGGGTGGGGGGAGGCGAAGGCAAGAGGACCGGGTTCGTCGCCGGGAAGCAGCCGCGGTGGCAGCCACCGCCGCGAACCAAACCGGCCTCTTTCACGGCCGCCGCACATTCCTCACCTCTTCCCCCTCCGCCGCTGCAGCTGCCGCTCCGTTCGCCTTATCGCCCTTGTTCGCGAGGAGAAAAATGGGCGTCTTGACGTACTACATCTCTCCTCTTCATTAGAGCGCGCCCCAGAGCGAATAAAGAACTCTCCCGAGCGGTTTAGATGGACGTTCGTATCAGCGCTGGAATCCAGCCGAACAAAGGGGAGATTTCAAGGGACAGACAGAACCTCGGTGCCTTGTTCTTGTGTTGGGTACGAAGCATCACCTCCGTCAGCACGTTCCACTCTCTTCAGGCCGGACGGCTCGTGATGACAATGGTTAAGCTCCCACAAAGAAACAATCTGCACATGTATTTACTTTGCTAATAAAATTTCCTGAGCTTGTAACTATATTCGAATTATGTAGTAACTATATACGATATAATCTTTTAAACTAATTATTCGCATTTGGTTGAATTCTCATACAAGTGGGAGATATCAATAAATGTCAATGAATTTTTCTGACCTGAACGTATTTTATGAATTGGTTGTGATATAATCTTTTTCTGCACTTGGTTGTATGCATGTTCCTGGTTTGTACCGGTCATAACATTATGTTTCCCTCTTAAACTCAGATATTTATTCTCCCTAACGATAGATAAAAATGATAGGGTTAAAAGTATATATAACATTCAAAACACTATCTTATTCCAATTATAACTGAGTGCGCATGTAAGATATTTCTTTCCGATTCGAGAGGTTAATTGTTGTTTTCACGGGTGATTATGGCTTTCCTGGACCTTATAAGATCTCTAGCACAATTACCGTCTTACAAGTAGCTACATTAGAGCAACATTTTACCTGATCAATCTCATTAAATATATACTTAAAAGGCTAATAAAATTATAATGGCTATTTATCTACTGTTCATCTGGTATTTTACATTCTTTTTATCCATAAGGCGCACTAAATACGCGTTATCCGAACCATTTACGGCGGCCTGCAAATTATAGTTGTTAACTTCCTCGACTCACAGGTTAAATTAGAGTTGTGCTGTTGTCACAATATTTGCTTCTTACAAATAGGTACCACATCCCTATCGTTGTCCCGAATGACACGTGTTTTTATTGTTTTAAGAAGATCAATAATGGATTAACCCGAAATGGTTAAGAGAAACCCTAGTCTTGACGAGGTCGTCCGCCAGTTCCGTTCCCTTTACGATGGAGGGCTCCTCCGCCTGCTGCACTGGGATGTTTATGACGCGTCGTGGGGTTCGATTTGCGGCGGCGGCGGGCGTGCGCGGCAGTTACTGCCTGGCGTTCTCGCCCGGGAGCAGCTGCGCCCGAGGCGCGCACGGACTGCAGCAGCGCTCCCTGCACTTAGCGCAGCGGGCGAGAGAGCGACGGCCGGAGGATGGGCGATGGGCACGTGGCAGGATGACGGCGAGGGGGATGGTGACGAGCGCATGCGAGGCAGACGGGCAGGCTGGTTGGCGACGGCCACGATTCTGGTGACGGCCAGGCGAGGAGGCGATGGCGAGAAGCAAATGGGAGGGCGACGGATTAGGAGATGGTGACGGGCACACGGGATGGTGATGGGCAAGCAAGAGGGCGAAGACCTAGGAATGGTAACGGACAAGACATTTCAGGGGGAAGGCAGGGCGGTT